CATTTGCAAATGTTAAGCTTTGTATTGATGCCTTCGTGGGTTCGCTGTTTTCAGTGCTGTATTGAGGACTGACATTTGCAGAGTTGTCTCGGGTACCGTGAAATTTGCATGTCCTGAGAGCTATATTGTTCTCTTTGTAACTGTGACATTTGCACTGCTGTCTTTTGGACACGGTTATTTGCACTGATGGCTTCTTCGATGCCTTAGTGGGTGTGTTATTGGAATTAATGCCCCAGTGCCTGGGTTGTGTGGATTGATGCCTTAGTGGGTGTGTTATTGGAATTATTGCCCCATTGCCTGTGTTGTGTGGCTTGATGGCCCAGTGCCTGTGTTGTGTGGATTGATGCCTTAGTGGGTGTGTTATTGATGCCCCTTAGTGTGGTTTGTGTGTTGAATTAATGCCCCAGTGCCTGTGGTGTGTGGTTTGATGGCCCAGTGCCTGTGTTGTGTGGATTGATGACTTAGTGGGTGTGTTATTGGAATTAATGCCCCATTGCCTGTGTTGTGTGGATTGATGCCCCAGTGCCTGTGTTGTGTGGATTGATGCCCCAGTGCCTGTGTTGTGTGGATTGATGCCTTAGTGGGTGTGTTATTGGAATTAATGCCCCAGTGCCTGTGTTGTGTGGATTGATGGCCAAGTGCCTGTGTTGTGTGGATTGATGCCTTAGTGGGTGTGTTATTGGAATTAATGCCCCAGTGCCTGTGTTGTGTGGATTGATGTGTCTGTGTTTGTGTGGATTGAAGTGCCTGTGTTGTGTGGATTGATGCCTTAGTGGGTGTGTGTTATTGGAATTAATGCCCCAGTGCCTGTGTTGTGTGGATTGATGCCCCAGTGCCTGTGTTGTGTGGATTGATGCCCCAGTGCCTGTGTTGTGTGGATTGATGCCCCAGTGCCTGTGTTGTGTGGATTGATGCCCCAGTGTCTGTGGTATTTACATTGATTCTTGAATGGCTGTATTATCTGCATAACTGCCATGTTGGTCTAGTTATTGGCATAATTTGCATTGGTGCCTTGATGACTGTGTTATTTACATTGGTTCTTTGATGGCTGTGTGGTTTGCATTAATGCCTTAGTGGCTGTGTTACCTGTATTAATGCCTTGGTGGTCAATGTATCTGCATTGGTGGCATGTTGGTCTAGTTGTTGCCTTGGTGGTCAAGGTATGTGCACTGGCGGCGTAGTGACTGTGTTATTGGCATCCATGTAGGGCTTCCACGGGTACTCGAGTACTCGAGGTCGAGTCGGGTTTAGCTGGACTCGAGTCCATTTTCACGGACTCGAGGACTCGAAAAGGGGAGATAACTCGAATTATTGACGTTGACGGACTGTCTGCCATGTGCTAAGCATGAGCGGCCGTTAACGTCTAATATTAAGAAAAAGATATAACTTTATTATCCCAGAGGAAATTCTCATACATCCAAACTGTCTCAAAATGAATATATACACAGTTCCCAAAAATGTACACAATAATTACATGCTCAAAACGAATGCTATTTACAAATAAAACTGACATGATATAATTCAATTAACCACATAGGTAAAGAGGCTGAATAATTCTAGTTGTAATCACATGATGGTGATTCAAAATATTTGTTGCATTCACGAATACTTGATGGTATGAAAGACTGCCGAGCACTGTTTCGAGGGCAGGTAATCGACAGCAGCGTCCAGAAGGAAGTAGTTCAAAATTGTGAGATCAAATATGTCAACTATCAAATCTAATGTTAGCTGCTTTTTTGACTATACTCGAAATACACTCCAGAAATTTTGCAAGCAGTATGAACAATTTTGAAAAGTCTGTATTTGTTGCGATGAGACAGATCCCCATACCGACATAGAAAATTGTAGGTCAACACACTTTGAATAAAGGTTTGATAAAAAACTGTCATTACGGCTTTGTCAATGCCTTGACGATAATAATGTTCAGAATCAGAAATTAGGCAAGTAACAGTGGCGTCATATCCAAATTTCACAGTAAACAAGTCATATATTGACAAGTAACAGTCATAAGTATACAAAACGAAGAGTACGGATGAAGGAACACAGCCATGTGGATCTCCAGTAGAGGTTGAGAGAAAAGAAGATTGATAGCCATTGACACTGACATACTGAGTTCTATGTACCCTGAATTCTTTAACCCATCTGATAATGTTTTTTATTAACACCTAGATTAAATAGTTTACTCCTCACATGGTGTGGCTGTATGGTATTATTTGTTACAAGTCTGCAGATGAGAGTAAATATTATACATCGATTGAGATTTCACTTCTTAAAATGATTAGGTAAGTATCTTGACAATTGATCGTTTGCTTGAAAGGTATGAATTTCGAGTACTCGGGTCCGAGTCGAGTCTCACCCCTCGAGTACTCGAGTCCAAAAAAATGGACTCGTTGAAGCCCTACATCCATGCCTAAGTGGCTATGTTACCTAAATTGATGCTTTTGTGACTGTGGTACTGACATTGATGCTTTGATGAGTGTTCAATTTACATTGATTCTGTGATTTCTGTGTTACTTGCATTGATGCTTTTGTGACTGTGGTATTGGCATCGGTGCCTAAGTGGCTATGTTACCTGCATTGATGCTTTTGTGACTGTGGTATTGGCATCGATGACTAAGTGGCTGTGTTACCTGCATTGATGCTTTTGTGACTGTGGTATTGACATCGGTGCCTAAGTGGCTGTGTTACCTGCATTGATGCTTTTGTGACTGTGGTATTGGCATCGGTGCCTAAGTGGCTGTGTTACCTGCATTGTTGCTTTTGGGACTGTGGTATTGGCATCGATGACTAAGTGGCTATGTTACCTGCATTGATGCTTTTGTGACTGTGGTATTGGCATCGGTGCCTAAGTGGCTATGTTACCTGCATTGATGCTTTTGTGACTGTGGTATTGGCATCGGTGCCTAAGTGGCTATGTTACCTGCATTGATGCTTTTGTGACTGTGGTATTGGCATCGGTGCCTAAGTGGCTGTGTTACCTGCATTGATGCTTTTGTGACTGTGGTATTGGCATCGGTGCCTAAGTGGCTATGTTACCTGCATTGATGCTTTTGTGACTGTGGTATTGGCATCGGTGCCTAAGTGGCTATGTTACCTGCATTGATGCTTTTTTGACTGTGGTATTGACATCGGTGCCTAAGTGGCTATGTTACCTGCATTGATGCTTTTGTGACTGTGGTATTGGCATCGGTGCCTAAGTGGCTATGTTACCTGCATTGATGCTTTTGTGACTGTGGTATTGGCATCGGTGCCTAAGTGGCTATGTTACCTGCATTGATGCTTTTTTGACTGTGGTATTGGCATCGGTGCCTAAGTGGCTGTGTTACCTGCATTGATGCTTTGTGACTGTGGTATTGGCATCGATGACTAAGTGGCTGTGTTACCTGCATTGATGCTTTTGTGACTGTGGTATTGGCATCGATGCCTAAGTGGCTATGTTACCTGCATTGATGCTTTTGTGACTGTGGTATTGGCATCGATGACTAAGTGGCTGTGTTACCTGCATTGATGCTTTTGTGACTGTGGTATTGGCATCGATGCCTAAGTGGCTATGTTACCTGCATTGATGCTTTTTGTGACTGTGGTATTGGCATCGATGACTAAGTGGCTGTGTTACCTGCATTGATGCTTTTGTGACTGTGGTATTGGCATCGATGCCTAAGTGGCTATGTTACCTGCATTGATGCTTTTGTGACTGTGGTATTGGCATCGATGACTAAGTGGCTATGTTACCTGCATTGATGCTTTTGTGACTGTGGTATTGACATCGATGCCTAAGTGGCTGTGTTACCTGCATTGATGCTTTGGTGGTCAATGCATCTGTATTGATGGCATGTTGGTCTAGCTATTGCCTTGGTGCCTGTGTTATTGCATTGTTGCCTTGCTAGCTGTGGTATTTGCACTGGTGCTTTGGTGACTGTGGTATTGACATTGATGCCTTGATGAGTGTTCAATTTGCATTGATTGTTTGATTTCTGTGTTACTTGCATCGATGCCTTGGTGGCTTATAAATTAGCATTGCTACGACTATGACATTTACGTAATTCTTTCCATGAATTTATCAACTTGATCATCAGTATGATATTTTGATAGATACTGAGATATACATACAAACGACTGATGGGTGTAGAAATATTGACAGGAATCAATCAGGTTTGATAAGTTCTACAAGTACAATGGAGGTCATATTTGACGGCTACTTGAAACGGACCTAGTGTCAATCAACGCAGTGGAATCATTCAAGCATTCTGATGCCTGATAACCACTTGTATCAGTTGCGTTCATCTTGACATAATCATGTTGCATCTAATGTAATAAAGTTGAACGTCAAGGAACGAAAATTTAAACTGTTAAAATAAGACCATAGAATGTTGTGCTGACCTGTGAATAATGATGAAAATCTAAAAATCGGAGATCTCTAAATCTGTCTCTTAAATCCATTTGCATCTCATGCTATTTTAGTCCAGCTTCGATCCATTCATATTGAAATACCGCTCCAAGGGATACTGATTAAATAAAATGGTTAAATCTGAGTCACTACTTTCACGAAACTTTATTGATTTCTTCATTGCAATGTCATTTACACTCACGTGTGAGACAATATCGTATATCCCATTGCAACATTAGGAGTAGAGTACCCGATAGAGATGTGGTCGGATACTACTTGGGTAACAACTGTTAACAAATGTTAGCAAATGTCAGACATAGTCATCTGATCTCGACTCGAGAGGAGAGATTTACACCACTGATTAAAGGGTGATTACTTCTGTCTCGTTTGATCAATGTATGGGACAACCATAAACCCATCATCACATATCTCCTTCTCCCAAATCTCCCAAACAACGCTGATTACGTTTAAATTGCACCTACAGTCCCATAAACGTCGTAAATCAGGTCCTTTGAGACTTGCCATCTCTGATCCTGTTTCCAGAGCCGCTGACCAGATCAACGTGACCAATGATATGTTCTCCACGGACCAATACTCTTTGATTTTATTTCAGATGGAAGATTCTGACTGGACCATCACATGACAAGGTCTAATGGTCAAGTCTGGAGGACAAGACACGATTTGGTTATGGACTGTAGAGATGTAGATTCGGCCACATCAGATCTTCCCTAAGATGCGGGTGATGAAGAATATACGTATTTCATAATTCGGCATGAATTGTTCCTCTGGACGAAATGATGCCTTTTGAAGCGATGGCTGATGATAAGAGAAGGAGGTAGCGATCAGTACAGAACGACACGATGTTGCTGCTGCTGATGTTGGTGGTGGTTGTAGGTGCTGTGCAGTCTTCCGCTAAGACAGGTAAGAGAGCTGGAACTGTTTTAAAGATAAAGTGCTTCTGAAATGTTCCTTTCAGAGTGGAGTGATACATTCAGCCAGTTATTCCAGAATACACGGACATTTCACATACAGTTCATAGTGACGCGGAGGCGGTGGGGTAGCCTAGTGGTTAAAGTGTTCGCTCGTTACGGCGAAGACCCGGGTTCGATTCCGCATATGGTACAATGTGTGAAGCCAATTTCTGGTGTCCCTCGCCGTGATATTGCTGGAATATTGCTAAAAGCGGCGTAGAACTAAACTCACTCACTCACTTACTCATAATGATGCGTACGTATGCGCTTGATTGTTTCATGAACGTTCTACCCTTCTGTCTAAACTTTAATCTGTAAACACAACAATAGGGCCTCCATCTTGATATCAAGCTTGCACATAGCACTGATTAGCATAATGAACAGTAAGTTCTCACGTCATATGGTTCTGACTTCTTTAGAAAGCACAAGTCATTGTCACAAGGTTGTTTTCATGAACCACTACCACATTCGTGATGATACCAGATAACGTATTCAGCTCCATTGACACTACCCGTCAAGGGACGGTGGGGTAGCCTAGTGGTTAAAGCGTTCGCTCGTCACGCTGAAGGCCCGGGTTCGTTTCCCCACATGGGTACAATGTGTGAAGCCCATTTCTTGTGACCCGCCGTGATGTTGCTGGAATATTGCTAAAAGCGGCATAAAAGCTTACTCACTCACTCGTTCATTCATTAATTCACTCACTCACTCACCACTCACTACCCGTCAATGCGTATGCTAAGGCAAGTAAAGTAAGAAACGCTTCACCTCATGTATAATCTGTACGTACATATATATTTGTAATGCACGTGCTCTATGATGTTCTATCGTCATATGAGCGAAATATTCTTAAGCACGACGTTAAACCCAATTTCACCTCACCTCACCTATGATGTTCTATCTCAGTTAATTAGTACCACAGGCCTAAGACAACCACGATGCGCTAACCATAATTCATATGTCATTTGAAAATCTCTAAACCGAGTTCTAACGTGGAGAGATGATTTTTAATATTTTCTACTTTTCCTCGAAACAGCTGAAGTTTCTTCAAATCGTTACCATCGATGTTATGTGTGGTTACCACGGCGACGATATTGAAAAACACTATATGAGACCTTCAATCAGACATTAATGCAGATTTTCCCGTGAAATTGGGCGTGTAGCTAGTGTGAAGTTGGCCTAGCATGAACGTTCCTTTTTCCTTATGGATGCATCCGCCTTATACTTGAAACTTAAACAGTCAGCCATGCTCGGGCTGTAAATGACCATCACATCTTCGAAAGCTTCTCTCAGCAACACATCTAGCAGTGGACACTCGGTTGCAAACATTTCAAAGAGTGTATGGCTACTTTTGTTTAAACATTGTTTGATAAATGATTCAACATTCAAGGTCTTAGTACTGCTTTACTTTTATGATACTTTAGACATGTGGATAACATTTCCAAATCTGAAGCAACAGTGACAAAAATTATATCCGATAATATTTAATTTTATCCAATTCCCTGTTTTGATTGTACCATATTTTCCCGTGTTTTCGTGTGAACAAATGACGTGCCTTTACGTGTGTTTATGACATGTACGACCGATTGGGTATATTCATGGTATCATCACTTGATAGTGATTCATAAAGGCATGCTCTTGATATTGACGCAATAGTACAATGTACCCTATTTAGCATAGGTTTCTGATGGTTATGGAAAGTTTGTTTTGTCGCTTTTATTGACGACACGAGAACCATCATCCTGACCACCAGAATCCTGTAAACAGTCGTCAAAACCTCCTTCGAGATACCACTAGTCTATCGGCCAATGCCGAGTATATTCTTAGCCTTGAACTCACGTTGTGCACCAATCCTTAGTTCAATAATGCAATCTGCATTCATTATGCAGAGACGTGCTGCATGCGTGGTGCTGGCTCATTAGATACCTTTAGTGCCTCGTGATACTATGGGTTTTTTATCACACGAATATATTTGAGTATGTTCCTGGTACCAAGGTCAGTCTCACCACAATCACATCATCCTAGACTTGGTAACTGACAAGTCTACAGATATAAGAGGGAAAGAGGGTCCCAGGAAGCACGAGTTGGAGTGGGTTTCGACTTGGTTCTTTTGTATGTCATGGACACTTGTGTAAATAATACTTGTAAAACCTACGTCTTGCGTCTTGAGCCCCCTCTTTGAGTCCCCTCTTTGAGTCCTTCTTTGAGTCCCCTCTTTGAGTCCCTCTTTGAGTCCCCTCTTTGACCCCCCTCTTTGAGCCCCCTTTGAGTCCCCTCTTTGAGTCCCCTCTTTGAGTCCCCTCTTTGAGCCCCCTTCTTTGAGTCCCCTCTTTGAGCCCTCTCTTTGAGTCCCCTCTTTGAGCCCCCTCTTTGAGCCCCCCTCTTTGATTCCTCTCTTTGAGTCCCCTTTTTGAGCCCCTCTTTGAGCCCCACTTTGAGTCCTCTCTTTGAGCCTCTCTTTGAGCCCCTCTTTGAGCCCCCCTCTTTGAGTCCCCTTTTGAGCCCCTCTTTGAGCCCCCCCACTTTGATTCCTCTCTCTGAGTCCCTTTTTGAGCCCCGTCTTTGAGCCCCCCACTTTGAGTCCCCTCTTTGAGCCCCCCTCTTTGAGTCCTCTCTTTGAGTCCCCTCGTTGAGCCCCTTCTTTGAGTCCCCTCTTTGAGCCCCCTCTTTGATTCCTCTCTCTGAGTCCCCTTTTTGAGCCCCCTCTTTGAGCCCCCACTTTGAGTCCCCTCTTTGAGCCCCCTCTTTGAGTCCTCTCTTTGAGTCCTCTCTTTGAGTCCCCTCTTTGAGCCCCCTCTTTGAGTCCCCTCTTTGATTCCTCTCTTTGAGTCCCCTTTTTTGAGCCCCTCTTTGAGCCCCTCTTTGAGTCCCCTTCTTGAGCCCCCACTTTGAGTCCCTCTTTGAGGCTCCTCTTTGAGTCCCCTCTTTGATCCCCTCTTTGAGCCCCCTCTTTGAGTCCCCTCTTTGATTCCTCTCTTTGAGTCCCTCTTTTGAGCCCCCTCTTTGAGCCCCTCTTTGAGCCCCCACTTTGAGCCCCCCACTTTGAGCCCCTCTTTGAGTCCCCACTCTTTGAGTCCCCTCTCTTTGAGTCACCTCTCTTTGAGTCCCTCTTTGAGTCCCCTCTTTGAGTCTCCTCTTTGAGCCCCACTCTTTGAGTCACCTCTTTGAGCCCACTCTTTGAGTCACCTCTTCGAGACCCCTCTTTGAGTCCCCTCTTTGAGCCCCCTCTTTGAGTCCTTTTGAGCCCCCTCTTTGAGCCCCCTCTTTCAGTCCCTCTCTTTGAGCCCCCTCTTTGAGCCCCCTCTCTTTGAGTCCCCTCTTTGAGCCCCCTCTTTGAGTTTCCTCTTTGGGCATTAAGGTGACACACCCTGATAAAACAATCATAGTGTTTAAGGCAGCGTTAAATCCCGACGCTGAAGGGACCAAAGTACATACTTCGGGTTAACCGGGTTTTGACACAATCGAAAATGATGAATAAGCTTATGAAAGGATAAAGTTTCCTTTCGATACATCAAAGTTCAACACATCAGGTTTTGTTTATACATCTTGGAGCTGTCTGTCTATATCAGCTGGCACAGGGCATTAATGTGTTGTTAATTAATGACAAGAAACTTTTTATCGTCCATAAATAAAACCCTCAGTGCCCATTGTACGATTCCGACTATATCATAAGCATATGTGTATGAATCAGCATCATGTATTGATGATACTTGGTAGGAACTGGAGTGTACCCTGCCCAAATGTCAGTACACTTTGCAAATATACTGAGGGAAACAAATAAAGGAACGCATGGAAGTACAAGTGTCCCTTTATCCTTTTCCAGGTTTCTTGACAAACTTTGTATTGCACTGTGGGTGAAAATCTTAGAATAAATAAAGGAACACTGCGACGAAGTGGTGTTCCCTTATTTGTTTCGCTCAGTATATATGCAAAATACCGCAACTTATGGAATGGGCTCCTTGGGAACATGTTTGATCATCAGATTATACTTTTTAAATTAAATATCTTTGCCAGATTCCCAGCAACCAATACAATAAAGAAGAACATAATATTTGCGTTTTATTTGAACACCAACTTCTAAATGCCTCTCAAGAACCTAACCAATGCTTGTTGTAAGAAGTGGCTAAAAGTATGGGGTCGCCCGATGATGGACCACCAATGGCGTGGATCGTTGTTCATAAAACAGTCAACCGTCTTGTCAACATTATTCACAGACTGCAGTCATTGCCGGACATTGCCGAGTGCGGCGTTAAACAACAAACATATATACACACACACAAAACTAACATGTGACGAATGACACGATGGGACAGGATACGCTCACCTGCTGTTTGATGGTGATTCGCAAACATAGCTTTCTGGCTCAGTCGGAATCGCACAATGGTCGCTTCTTTAGACAGATAATTATCATGATTATGGAAGTCTTAAATTAAAATTTTTCTCCCCCGGTTCCCTAGAGCGCAGCGATGACCGTAAGCTTATGAATTACGATTACCTTAGATCGCAATGTGAAACGGGGCTAAAAAGCTGATTTCTGATGACCAATGATTTGAATATCGTTGCACAGTTGTAAATATTGACTATTGATTTATTGATATATATATATATACATGTACATGAATAAATGTTCAATATACATCGGCAATACGTTTTGCTTGTCTGATCCAGTTAGTAGGACGCCTCGCTATCCGGACGATTTCTGAGTGTAACCAAAATGTCCGGATAAACGGGGTTCAACTGTACATTGTTATAAGAAAGCAAATCATAATTAATAAACCGTGATTTGTTTATCTAGACATTTGCTTTTCCGGGCGTTTCATATCAAAGTTTATTGTCCGAATAAACGGGTTTTCGCTATTGGATGTGTTTTCTTCTTGGTTCCAGACATCAAGCCACCGTACGACTGTCACCCGTTCTACTACACCATCCCCGAGTGTGTGGACCACCCCGACGGGTATGGGTGCGAGTGTGGCCCTGGGTTCCACTGGAACACCTACATGTGCATGTGTAAGTACTGTTATACAATCCCGTTATAACCAACATAGCTAACTCCAATATTGGCAGTTCCATTGCATGACCTTGCTGACTATATGTAACTGTGGTATGTGGGATCATCCTCGCGAGAGGTTATCCGTGAAAAGGGGTAATCTAGAATTTTTAATACATTTGTTTTAGTCAGAAAAATGGGCTAAATTGCGATATTGTACAAAATCTGGATTTTTTTTACTTCTTTTTTTGCTTAAATTCAGATGGAGGTAGTTTAACATTGCATCCAGTAGGGCATTGTATAACTAAACATAGAAATATATTATTATTAAGTTCTTCTATTATCATGGAAATGGAGGTAATTTCTACTGAGCCATAACGTTTCCAATAACTGTAACAAAAGAATTATTCTAACTTGGTACGTTAACTGACATTTCCGGCCACATGTCTCAATAGATTGCTGCAATAATTTACCAGCTTTTACATTGTTGACAGTAACATAATTTAATCAGCTGATCTTAATCCTGCTGCTATCACAACTTCCCTTAAAGGGGATAGTGGCCCTTTGCAAATCATACACTATTAAACATATTTAGGGGCAATTCATTTCTATTACGATGTCCATCCGTCTATCCTAACGCTAAAATACCATTTCCATTTCGATGGAAATCCATCTACGAGTTATAACTATACTTGCGTTATCAAATTGTCAAGGTGAGATTTTTCTTGCCAAACCTGTATTTTATCGATAGGGACTACAACGAATGTGCCCCCTTAACCTCTCATTACAACGTTAGCGGGGCCCGTGTCCACTGTTAATGCGACGGCAAATGTAATACCACCCTTAAGTACCCAAGCTCTCCGGACCCTGCGTAAGTCTCCCATGGTAAATATCTTTCAGATCTATAGGTCTACAGACAACAAAGGAATCTGACAGTGAAGAACTGCATGTCTTAGACTGCTGTAGCTCCAACAACCTCCTTGCATTTTGCGATGCCCCCTCGTCACGCCTTGTAGCCTTTACTCTTGTTCAAAGGTTTCCATTCTTGCTTTAGCGGAAACAGGGCCAGACGGCATGCATTAGGACGCTAAAATTACCATAACCCTCTACATTTTATCAGCTATCTGTGTCGAGTGATGGGCTGCGGTTGTAAGAGGTATCGCCACCTCTTACTAACGATTTCATGTCACCTCCGTTTTTTATCGTCACCACGAGTGCTCTTTCATGATTTACTCAAGTATCATTTCGTTTTTGCAGCCTCAGCAATCGATTCCAGATTTGAATATAAGGCCCAAACCCCTGCCAGATACACCTTGCTACTTGGAAAAGCTTTTCCAAAATTAGACGATTTTACCATTGCTTTTTGGATGAACGTAAGCGACCCACTTCATCCGGGGACTATTCTGTCATACAAACATGGCGACACGGAGAACCTTCTGCGCATGATGAGCGGCCCAACGTTGCAATTTGAAATCTGGGGTCAGAGGGAAGACACAGAGATAATACTTGACCCCCACGTGTGGTACCACATCATGTGGACATGGACATCATCGAGTAGGTATTTTAGGGTCTGTTAATTAATTGAAAACGTATCTTCAACTTGAAACTTTAGAGTATTACTCTCGTATGATTAGGGACCGTTCATAAGTTATGTCTAGGGGGATGAAGATGATTCATATAGAGAGTCATGTACAATGAATGGAAAATATTTAATATCTTTGGCAGTTTTCCCCATTATCAGCGAAAAGTTAAAATCTTTAACATATTATGTTCAAAGTGACACCCAACCACCCCTGCATTTATCATGTGCAAAGTCGATGACCCCCAACCCCCACTTCCCAAACTTTCTAAGCATCATTCTTTAATAATTTAATATACAAAATTGCGGACCCTCCTAGTACATGTGTATAAAATTGATGACCCCCTACCTCCCCAGAACAATATGGGTGACCCCCGACCCCTCCCCCATAAAATCATCATCACCCCCTAGCCATAAATTATGAACGGTCCCATATTGTGATATTACATTTACAATGTACATCTGTAATGAACGCTACTTCATATAGGAATGCCCAAACACATTCAGCATCAACAGCATCGTCAGCATCGACGCAGATTAACTTTGGTGTAGCGCTACGTGTCGGATAATTGGAATCACATTCCTTGGAGTTACTTGATATTTCTGTGGAAATGTTTCCAGTATTCGATGCAGTTCCACTCAATGTACAATGGCAATCTGAAGCATTGAAATACACCTACGTGTAAAAAAGGTCTTCACTTACAAACGGATTTGGCCAGAACGAAATAAACAATAGCAAAACGTTACGAGGTTTAGTTAGTCGCCGAAACAGGGTAATCATCGTCATCACATACATCACCATCGAGTAACCATTTCTTGTGTTTCATTTTTAGACACCAGGACACATTAGTGCATTTTTAGTCTGGCTGTTTATTATGATTTATGGTCGCCCAATAATTGAAGTGTTCTTTGCAACACACTGCAGGAATACTAAAACCTTAGATCTCTGCATCATTACACCAACTCATTGGCCAGAATCAATGGCAAACAGACTTCACAGAATACACATCCGTTTCCCGTACGCATAACACCATATACTCACAAGTCGAATCTATAACCATTGAGCGTCTGATCAATGGCAATATCGCAGTATGCATACAAGCCTCTTAACACAAGGAAATCGTTTTCAGTCCCTTGTGTGCCCTAAAGACTGCTATGTTTCTGGCCATTCATTGATGTCCCTTCGCAGCTCTGGGGCTGTTTGAAGTCTGTTTGCAAAACGTAACACCTACCATTTGAAACCAATATCATAGTGGATCGTTACGTATAGCTATTCACCTTCATCTTGAACAAACGCTACTCCTGACCTACACATACGTTTTCAAGACCCAAAGATCAAACAAAGAAAAGTCTGTTTGAAAAGGGTTCCGTATCGAACAGAACTCGGTCATCAGTTTAAAGGTGACCAATCTCTACATTCACGTGACGTTTCGCCCTCTGTCTGCTATATTGGGTACAAATTGCTCAGAGGGCGACGTACTGAGGTAAGAGGTTCGGACCAAATCATTATTCCCTCAATATATACTGAGAGAGAAAATTACGGGAACACAGGAAAATTCAAGCGTTCATTTAATATTGCCAGTTTTCATCACCAGCTTTGAATAGCGCTGTGGGAGGAAATCGAAGAATAAATAAAGGAACACTGCCATGAAGTGGTGTTCCCTTAATTGTTTCCCTCAGTATATTTTGAGTTGCTGGATTTTGGGCAAGGGGACTGAGTAACCTAATGCTAACATTTCGGTGGTGAAGGTTTGAATATGAAGACTTGAAGTCGGACGGGTAGCCGGTGTGTCTGGGGTTCGATTCCGAGTTTCACCCGGATTACCATCCTTGGTATGTCCTAGACTGATCATTGGTTTCACGAAAGTGGTAAACGTCTGAAATCTTAATGGGTTTAACTGATCTTCAACAACCCATGCTTATCGTAGTAGGCGGCTAACGGGACCGGGTCGTCAGGCAGGCCCTCTGGTTAGTTGACGCATGCCATCGTATCCCGATTGCGATTGTTCGATGTTCCAGACTAGATTATTTAAAGATCGCCGTCAAAGAGCTGGAAAATGAATAAACAACACACAAACGTTATCATCGTGAACTGCATGATAACACACGTTGTACACCCCATGTGTTAGGGTGTCTAAACATGATACAACACGAAGATGACAATTCGATGGTGATGAACATGTATTTAAGACGGTCAAAGTTTTGTTTTGAACCTGACGTGTTTCGGGGACGTGTTTTGGTAATGCCTGTAATGTTTGGGTCAAATCCGTTTTTCAAGTGTATACGTTCTTTCCCCGGCTTTAATGCACACTGCAATTCATCATCATGTGTATAACTGTTTCAATGTTCGTTGCGGTCTGAACCCGTGAAGATCCGGGTTAAAATTGCTCTTCAGTAACCCTTGCTTGTCGTAAGAGGCGACTAACGGGATCAGGTGGTCAAGCTCGCTGACTTTGTTGACACATGTCATCGTATCCCAATTGCGTAGAACGATGCTCATGATCTTGAATACTGGATTGTCTGGCCCAGAATCAATCATTTACAGACCGCCGCCATATAGCTGGAATATTGCTGAGTTTGGCGTTAAACAACAAACAATGCGGCGTAAAACTAAACTCACTCACTAACCGCGGTCTGTAATTCCAGACGGCAGATGGACACTGTTTCTCAATGGGGAAAGCCGACACAGAGGTGTGATGGACAAAGTGCTACGACCTGTTCCACTGGGCGGGGAATTCGTTCTCGGCCAGTCATCACGCCCGAAGGATAAAGTGTTGTTCAACGTCACATACGGACTAGATGGGGACCTGGCGCATTTGAATATTTGGGACTACACAATGGAGGAGCCGGAGCTAAAGCAAATAATCGCATCTTGCAAGTTCATGTATTGTGGCAATGCTGTTGAGTGGGTCGAATTCAGAAGCGGTACGAGGGGAGCCATGAAGATGCGATGGCCATCCGGTGTTCTCAGTAAGTACGTCAGTGAAAGGGTGGACGAATTAAGGGGCAACCACTTATTGATTACAACGAGGCTTGAATTATTCAGACAAAACATAGCCGGCACTTGAATCATCAAGGAAAACACCTTTTCCGCACTTTTGAATAAAGTGAATGTTTCTAGCATGCTATACGCGGAATTAAATTTATCAAATTTATTTCATTTTAAAACTTAAAACGTCAATGTCAGAGAATGACTAGTCGTAGTGTCCCCCGAAACAGATTCCATTGACCTCAAAAAGGAAACAACAAAACATTTTGCCAATGGATCACTGAAAATCTGTGATGACACCGGGTGTTCATGTAAATGTATGGCCACGTTACCAGTTACATGATACATCTCTATATAACACTGGCTTTATTAAATAATGCATTGTTGTTGCCATTACGTTCAAGACCCGTGAAATCCGGGTTAGAATTGGTCTTCATTAACCCACGCTTGTCTTAAGAGGCGACAAGCGGGATAGGGTGGACAGGCTCGCTGACCTGGTTGACACATGTCATTGTACCCTATTGCGTATATCGATGCTTATATTGTTGATCACTGGATTATGTGGTTCAGACCCGATTACTTACAGACCGCCGCCATATAGCTGGAATATTGCTGAGTGCGGCGTGAAACTAAACTCACTCACTCATACTCATTACGTTCAAGGCTTAAGGGCATAGTGTGAGCCGAAATAAATAGTTTAGTAACGTTCGATGGGGAATTAGTTTGGCACGATATCAAGGTAATTGTTTTTGACAATGTATCATTTGGTACCTGCAGATACTAGTCCATCTGGTCTGTAATGGAACATAAACATTTATGCTTCGCGTGGATAAGAACACGGTTCTGTTTAATGAGCAGCGGTTGTTTTAAGCTTTTAAGCTGCATGCAAGCTAATGAATAACATGCAAACATAATAATCAGAATAGAGTACCTTTTTATTAACGTATTTAATAGTACGGCATATTGCCCTATTAGACTATGGGCGCGGTGAATGTTTGTAATCCGAGCTGACCATATCAGTGTGAGCATATGGGGCAGTGTTGTATATTCAAAATTGGAACAAAGGCTTCTTTAAACCTTACAATTCCAGCTATAAATATACCAGAACACAATCTGTTGAAATGTCCTCATTAAAAATGAAAATTTTAATCCCCTACTGTAACAGATAAACACCTTAGTTGTATTTGAATCGGTCGAACATGGTCAGCTTGACTTTTTTCGGAGCCGTATTCAGAGTCGAAATTTCAGCAGTTTGCAAGAAGCAGCGCAAAGCTACGTACATACCGCAGCGAATTGTTTCGGTTGTCAAGGAAACGGCAATCTAACTAGGCCATATATCGACTTATCCGTACTTCGAGAGTACCGGAGTGCTGCCGTTAATACGTGAGTGAATGGGGGACAGCATGGTTTATGTTGTTTAAGTAATGTTTTTAGCAATATGACGAATGAGGAAATTGTCTACCCACATTTTGCCTGTGTGGAATAGAACCCGAGCCCTTTGCGTGATAATTGAATGATTTAACTGCTGGGCTATTCATTCGAGTTGATAAAGGACGCCATAACCCGATTTTACTGTATACATAAATAATGACTTGGTTTATCGTATAAATATAACTCCCAGCATATCAAAAGGATTCTTATCTCAAAGCTCTGCTTTGTCCTTTCTACTCTGATTTAAAGAGAGTCGCCATAATGTTGGCTTGCACTTAAACCCCTCGTGTTCGGTTGCAACTACCGTGTCCGTCCCCGTCTCATCGCCATCCCGACGATGTCGTTCACATCTTCTCCCTCAGTCAGACCAAAGAGCCTTTGATATGATCTGTTAGTTCTACATCTGAGTCACGGATCAATCAGTTAAAATCGAACCATTCTATTGATCCTCTGTTGAAACGCAGACAGCAAGTTGTAGCCAGACTCTATGCTGGACGAGGATCCAGAGAAATGAATTCCCAATACCGATGCCATGCCTTGAAGGTTTTAACTTGATGTATCGAAGTTTTAGCGTGGAGATACATGTTACATTTATGATTTATGGTCATGTTTGGCATGTCTGTGTCATGATATGTAGAAATTAAGATGGACTTTCACATTCATCCCAGAGTAAAACTTCAAGCTGCCTTAAAGATGTCAAAATATTATATCATCATATCAAGTGATTCTTTTAAGCTGATACTGCATGGATGCATAAACTATATGAAGGTCAGAAGGTCCGATCAATGCGTGTTTATTGTAAACTAGAAAGTCTGGTGGCTCCGAAAATGAGTTTTGATACTTTTACATTTTATCATTGCGTCTCCGAACCATTGAATTTCTTTTTTATGCTTATACGAATCTTGTTTGACCTTTCTTACGCCATGTTATATAGACAGATTGGACATCCAGTTCAAAAGATACATGCTGTTATTCTGACTCCGTGGGGCAAATATCCGTGGTATTCTTTAAGAAGCCGTGAAATTTAGAAATTGGAATATTGACTGGTCTGCATCATAAATGCTTGAAGATGTTACCGACCTTCCTGAAGATAAAACAGGGGTGGTCTAATAACCTTGTAGTATCACCGACAACACATTTGTATCATAAATAGCATTTGGGCTTCCGTAAAGAAGTTTTAATCTCCTTGACAAAAAACTAATTTCGTCTGAAGTACTGCAGTGAACATTTTTCTGCGTTCTTTATTTCATAGACGCGCATCTGAATAAAGTTAATGGAGAGCGTGAACGCCATGATCAGAGAATAGGCTCATTCATCGGAATTTTTAAACGGTGCAGGACGAAGAAAAAAGTTACAGGGAAAAAATAACAAAACCAAATTTACCATCAAAACACTAATTCCTATGAAATGATGATAATTATTGGAATGTGTGATGAAAAGAATTCTCTTTTTTACAGCTGGGGAGTGTTTCACGGAGAAGATTGCCGCCGAAACGTGTGACAACTTCTGTAGCGACCTCATAGGTAAGCACGTGTGTTGTCTTGTGGGTGGTCCCTCTCCATAACCTGGCTTCTTATCTGTTGTCTTACTCGGCGTTGAATCCCGTGAACATCCAGGTTAGAATTGGTCTTCAGTTTCTCATGATTGTCGTAATAGGTGACTAACGAGATCGGGTGGTCAGACCCGCTGACTTGGTTGACACATGTCATCGTATCCCAGTTGTGTAGATCGATGCTCATTCAATCACTGGATTGTTGACTCGATTATTTACAGACCGCCGCCATATAACTGGAATATTGCTGAGTGCGGCGTAAAAGTAAACTCACTCACTCACTACATGGCGTTGATCATTTCACAGGCGATATGCTGCGGCGGGAAACAACATTCACTCACTCGCATATTACGGTTGTAAGGGTTGTAATGTCCCACAGGATGAGTATAACTAATTCATTCATCATGTGACAGACGTGGCAACTGATTGGTGAAGTGCTGAGAACCCAATGTCCACTGTTTCCTTTGGAGGACAGGCGCGTAGCAAGCCATTTTTTTCGTGTAAGCCCGATAGGTTGCAAAGCTTTATATTTAGATAGTATTGAGGGCTTGCCCAACCTTTTTAGCAAATATCATGGGTAAGCCCGGGCTTTTTACAAATGGTAGCTACGCCCCTGGAGGACAAAATCAAAATCATGAAAGATAGAAGTATGCAAATGAATATTTGACATGTAAATATATTATAAATGTGTATTTACGAATAGTTGCCCTGGTGAATTACATTCTCACATTTACATGGTGTTAAATGACCCATGCGAGAGGGGCGTCTATCGTTGCTCTGATCAGTGTCATTCAGCTATGACAAAGGGTGTCCACATAATGTACGAGGGAAAGACTATGTGAAACAGGCCCACAAGCCCGGTTACATGTTGACAACCCAAGGTGCGTAGCAGGAAGACGTCTAACTGTACAGCGATCACCAGATTAGTTATGAAAGTTTATCTAAACTACTGCTCAACTACCACCGTTAACCTTCTACTACTGCTGCTGGTGCTACTACTACTGCCGAAGCTTCTACTACTACTGCTGGTGCTACTACTACTGCCGAAGCTTCTACTACTGCTACTACTGCTGCTGGTGCTACTACTACTGCTGAAGCTTCTACTACTACTACTGTTTCTTCTTCTACTGCTACATCTTTAAGTGCTTCTACTACTACCACCTTTTCTACTACTACTAACACTACTATTTCTTCTTCTACTACTACTACCGCCGTGATGTTGCTGGAATATTGCTAAAAGCGGCGTAAAACCAAACTCAGTCAGTCAGTCTACTACTACTTCATTTACTTCTTTTACTACAACTGCTACTGCTGGTGCTACTACTACTGCTACAGCTACTACTGCTGGGGCAACTACTGCTGTTACTACTAGAATATAGCTATGAAACCTATTGTCTCATATTACACATAAATACGCTAAGTATATTGATCATCAAACAGAACCCGTTATGTTTTTACACAACCATAATAAATAGTGTCGACTAATGAGAATGGTGCATATCGCTCCATGCATTTACCAACAGTCACACATTCATATGCTTTTGTTGGTTATATATACTTTAGAAAGGACATTATGTAAGTAGCAGCAACTGTCTGACAAAATGAACTGAAGTCATGCCGGTGTCCGATACGTCCCTGTCAGGGTTGTCATAGAGCGAACTTTCTCTGGAACAATCTTACGATCGAAAGTTTTAATACGTTGAATGAATTGAGCTCATCTGGTGGAAGGACAAAGAGATCGTTTCTGACTTAAAGAACTCCAATCGTAGAAGTGAATGACCCGTCCTCCTTCACCGTAACTAACTTTGATCCACTTGAAGCAGTCTATCGCCACATATGCGGGGTAGTCAATCTTCTTTCGGAAATAGAAAACCAGATTGAAAGTACTGGATAATTCTTTCAATTGGAGAAGACATAGTAAAAAAATGCGAAAATCTTCAAGCACATGTCAGAGAACAATGGAAGTACTCTCTGATCCAGTTGGTAAAATACACAAGTAATTCCTCGCAAATTGATCGCAACAGCAAATCACGTATTCAATTTCAATGACACATTTCTATCATGTGATTGAAATAGATTTTTTCCAAAGACAAGGTCGATTACTTAATTATCCACGAGTAAAGGCCAGCCCCCGTTATCCATTACGATCAGTTCTCTCCAGAAAATGTCCAGGTTGCCTGATACATTGGTGGGTGCAGTTCTGGATGCAGCTACCGTCAAGCCAGGGAACACGATCTTCTTGCTGCTCAGGCGGTCCTGCCTCGGAGGTTGCACGCAAGAAGCCTGTAAATTGAACTTATGAAGCATGCCATTATTCTACTCCTGGCAGCAATGACGATATAGATCAGAAACCTCTGGTGATTACCGTTCTTCTGTCCCGCTTTGCTTTCTCTTTACGACCATTCCTATCGGAGGTCTTGTCTCGTGGAACCAACATCTTCCACATAATCTCACTTCTTCCTGTAGTTTATGGTTACATTTTTGTACGCCAATGTTGCATTCGGAAAGATTCTTGCCGCTCGAAATGAAATATTGCCTTAAACCGACTGCTGTCTTGATAGTAAAGGTTTGCTATGAAATATGATCGCGTTGAGTTACTAAGCTGAAGAACCCATTGATCCCATTTTGCCGTGGTAATGCATCTTTCTCAAATGATTGTTTTTACACAGTTTAGGGAGGCGGTGCCAATTAAAGAGGTTTTATGGGATTTGAGACCTGTCATTTGCTGCAAATTCGGAATTGAAGAAGTAGGTTTCTGGAATAATGAACTTTATCTTAAGATTATTTTCAGCCGTATTGTTATAACACCAAGCGTGGATATTCTACACGTTTATATTTCATTACATTATGGAATAACGGATATAACGCAATAATGGGAAGCTGTGCGTAATAACGGGAGGCTCTTAATCCCTTTCGTTGAATGGACGTTCATAGCAGCTGGCGTGGAAACAAACTGATGAAGGGGTATGTCGGCATCCAATAACAAGTGTTAACTTGAAAACGTGAAGTTCTATCGAGCTATCCTTAGTTCAGCGCAAGTGAAATTCATATCATAAGCATTCTACTGACATATCTAAAGTAAACAATATTCTGAGTTTGGATTAAGGCGGTATTAATGACGTGCAGATTTCCAAGAAAGCAACAACCATTTCAGCACTGGTATTTTAGGATATTGCAATGCTGACTACAAATGATTTGAAATTCATCTCTAAAATGAACTTCAAGCCAAAAGGTTATTCGACAAACAAAGTTTCCCAAGAAGGCTCAAAACATCCAAGCTGCTAACTTAGTTTGTGTTCTCGAGAAATTCAATCGTCTCCTAGCGAATTTATTTTACAAAGTGCATTTAGGTAGCCCGGCCCGTGTTATTCCCTGTTTCATCGGGATCGTCTCGACGGTTCGGGAGATGTGTGATTTTGTCTGGTCAAGAATGCATCGCTCGATGATTGAATTCAACTTAGAAATTTTATCTATGTGTATAAAATTACAATTGCATCAGTGCCGCAACGCAATCACATACAAGCAAAGTGGAAAAAAGATCGACAGTGTAATTTTAGAGATACTGTCCATGTTGCTGATTGATTCGCACACCATGACGACAATCAAGTTCTTGTTGACGGAACGATAGTCATCCGGCCATATAGACAGTAAATGTAACCATTCGTTAACGTTCAAACACTGATCTTGTCAATCAGCTGAAATTGCATTACATTAAACCCGACATTTTACAGATCGGCAAACAGATTTAATATTTTGACCACACTTTTCAATTTGGTTTGGCAATAAAGAGTCAATTTGCCAAGGAAATCGACACACATAATAAGGACGATGGGCTTAAAGTATCGCTTTCACCAAATGAATAAGCACAGGTTATGTCACTGTGATGATTGTTAATCTGTACTTGAGGGCATACGGGGGAAACGAAAGATGACATTTTTGTAGCTATATTGGGTATTTATTCTTCCGCTGTCTGGGGCAAATATACATTCATATGGAGTAGATTCAGCGACGGACAATCACAACAATGTGTTATCAGTAGAGGGACCGCTACATGGAACGTTCGCCAGAGTGTGAAATTATTTATCGATGAATGACAATATATGTTATCTGACAGAAAAAAATGTGATGTTATGGGAATACAAAGTCGTAATGAAGTATGGCCAGATTTGAAATTCACTATATTATAATGAAATACAGAATCCATGGAAGGCATTACAACATGTCCTTGTGTGTGTGTTAAATATCATTGGGATTTGCTTATCACATGCTCATGATATAGTCGGAATTGTACTGCCTTTAGTGCGCGTGGTCCTGTGCACAGAGCTCAGGTCACAAATCAGTTGAAGTTAAGCAACGTCGAGCTCGGACAATCCTCGGATGGGTGACCGTGTTTGGCAGCCTGACTCCTGAGAGTTTCTAGGACTTCAGTCCTGCCCAACAACGAAGCACATGTGATCCATGTGGTCTCACCTTAGGTGAGTTTGTTCAAAATTGCTTCTGTTCACCCAGCAGAAAATGGGTACCCGGTTGGATAAAGTCATGTGACTATAACCTTCTAGCGCCTAACAGGCAGCTTGGGTTATCCGGGGTAATAAGAATCAGATTCTGATTAAGCGCCGCGAGCAATCACTTGGTGTTTGGAAACGTGCGCTATAGAAGATGACTTATTATTTATTATTAGTAGATATGCTTATATTGCTTTTAGTTTCTTAATATCGTAACTAAACCATCTTAATAATCATAACGAGTCCAGTGTACGATTCCGACTATATCGCAAGCATGAATATAATTCACGTTCAAAAAGTCATGTCAGGTGTTTCAGAAAAGGGCTTTCATGTCTACCAGTATACAAATAGGTCTTTCTATAACAAGGCGAGCGGCAACTCGTGTTATTTTATCCGTCTTCGCGCAATCAGGCATAGCGAAGGACTATGCCAACTTGTGCTGCATCAGTCTTGGGGCCTGTTCGAT